CTCTCACACACACACTCACACACACACACACACAGGCGGTTGTGGTACCTCCATGCTCCCGTAGGTTTGTTCAGGATGGTCCGAGAGGGCGATAAGTGTGGAGCTGTCCTCCACTAAATTCTTCTTCCTTTTCATCATTATCCCAAAACAGCCAGTTCACCTCTGTGTTTTCTGACCGCCAATCTGAGAACCTTCTGCCCCTCTTTAAAACATGATGCAATGATTCAGTTATTATTTTGTAATAAAGAACCAAAAATACAAAATCTGGCATGTACAATATCGGTAAAAAGTTTGGAATAATCACATTTTTTCAATGTCTTCTCTTCTGCTGACCAAAGCTGCAGTTACGTGATAAAAAATACAGTACATGAAATAAAATTCTGAAATAAACGATAACATAAAATAACGGTAACACTTTACAGTAAGGTTCCATTATTAACTAACATGAACAAACAAAGAACAATACATTTATTACAATATTTGTTAATGTTAGTTAATGACAATGAACCTTATTGTAAAGTGTTATCAAAATAACTGTTTTCAATTTTAATGTATTTTAAAATGTAATTTATTGCTGTGATCAAAGCTAAATTTTCAGCATCATTACTCCAGTCTTCAGTGTCACATGATCTTCAGAAATCATTCTAATATGCTGATTTGCCGCTCAAGAAACATTTCTGATTATTATCAATGTTGAAAACAGTTGTGCTGCTTCATATTTGTGTGGAAACCATAATACTTTTTTTTTCATGATTCTTTGATGAATAGAAAGTTCAAAAGAACACAATTTATTTGAAATAGAAATCTTTTGTAACATTATAAATGTCTTTACTGTCACTTTTGCTCAATTTAATGCATCCCTGCTGAATAAAACAGTAGTGCATAAAAGTATACATGTAAATAAATGCATTGAAATTGCATAAATATTATTGTGTCAAACATAACAAATATAACTGTTAATCTTACATTTGTTTTCAGGGATTAAATTTCGGCGCGAGATTGCAGGGATTGTGCATAATTGCGGGAAATTCCCGCAAATATTTCAGCGTGAAAGACACTCGGGACAGATGACGGAATGCATCATTTGCACGTGCTTTTGAGTCTTACAATTTTAAACATTCAAGCGCTCAATTCAGTACTTGTGCGCTCTCTGTGAGACTCCTTTCTGTGAGCTCACACCCAAAGCGCGTGCACAGAGCTGCATCTGAGAGCGCGTGACTACAGAATGAAGTTGTGTTGCGTCTTATTGCGCATAAACAGCCAAATACATACAAAATGATGTCAAAATGCCCGTCTTGATGAGTATCCACGTAAAGAGTTGAGAAACAAAACTTATGTGTTACAGTTAGATCTGTGCATGAGGTCTTAAAGAGACAGCAACCTAAATAAACC